CTTCATAAACATTCGGGGAGATAGAAAAAGGATAAAGTGGAAGGAGGTTAGTGAACAATTGGAGGCTAAAAATTTCAGTGTATGGGGCAGCGGAAACTCACTTTAGAGATGAAGAGCAACCACCGTACATGCCCGGCAACTTCTGGATGGGATGCAACCGGAGGGGAGGTGAACGCAAAGGCGGAGGTCTAGGCATGTTAGTTAAAGGACAGGACTGGGAAAGAGGGAAGGAAAGCTGCAGGGAGCGCTTATGTCTGAACACTATTAATAAGTAATAGGTCTGAACCTATTCTGGGGTTTGCTTAGCTGGCTCAAGGGAGGAAAATATAGAACACTTTACATGCATATCGATGGACATCAGAGAAATTGGTTTTAATAAGAAAATAATTCTCATAGTAGGCATGAATGCTCACTTAGAAGACTTTGAAGGATTCACGGATACAGCCAAAACGTTGTTAGATGATTTGTGTGATGCCCTGGACCCAGTGTTAGTTAATGCATGAGTAAAATTCGACGGGGAAAGTAACGTGGGAATGAAACAACTCATACTAAACAAAACACTACTGCCTCTTGCCCCACAAACTGTATGACAGGCTAGGAAGTCTGGAAATAGATAAAGAAGGTGCAAGAAGCTTAGGGAGTGACCACAAAAGAATTACGATTAAATTTGGCGCATTTGAACCAGAACAACAAGCTCCGGAACGAGTGGGTAAGTCGAAACTAAGTAAAGTTCAAATACAAAAAGTATCGAAAAACATTGAGAACATAGTATCGAAACAACCGAAAAGAGGGTGGACGTATGAAGACCTGATAGGAATCTTTAAAAGAGAATAAGAGAAGCACCAAATTAAACAAAGAGGAAAACGAAAACGAAGACACAAACCAAAAGCTGTTGGGTAAGGAGGTTAAAGCAGCCATGTTGCGGCGCCAAGAGGCATCTAGGGAGCATAGGTGTGAAAAGAAAAGGGGGGCCTTGCCAGCCGTAGTAGCATCGAAATGGGAGAACTTCCAAGAGCGGAAAAGAGAGACATCAGCTTTAGTACAGGCCAAAATTGGTAGTGCACAGTGCAGTGGATGATGGATATCAAAACAAAAATAGTAACGCGGCAAAAAAGCTTTGGGAGCACATTAAAGCGCATAGGAGAAAGACAGAGCGTTTTCAACACATTCTGACCACACAGGAAGGGAGAAGAGTAGAGGGGGAAGAGGCACGTGAATATATTAGGCGGACAATTGAAGCGGCTTTCTCCCAGCCTGAGCAGAGGGGTGCAGTGGATAGCACTGACAGCAGCAGTGTAGAAGAGGAACAGAATTGTGGAACTGTGGAGTTGACAAGAGAATAAAATAAGGAATGAAGTAAGGTTCCACCAGGTACAGCGACAAACCCAGACGACATACGCATGAAACTCATTAAGACACTAGGAAAAACAAGCAAGTTGAAGGCACGGCATCTGATTAATCAAATAATTATGGGAGGAGAGGTTCGCAACGATTGGAAACTAAGTTAAATGAGAGTAATATATAAAGGGAAAATGAACAAAGACAACATTAAGGCATATCGCTTAATAACGGTAACCTAAGTTATATACAGATGAGCTATGCAAATAGTAAAGCGAAGAATGGAAAAATTGACAGAATATATGCAAATACTGGGTGAGCTCCAAAATGGATTCCGAACAGATGGAAGAATGGAAGAGAACTTATTCGTCGCCACACAAAGCATAGAAACAGCAATGAAAAACCAAAATCCTTTATGGCTAGCTTTTTTGAACATCAAAGGAGCGCACAATAACGTGAGCCAGGAAAAACTCTGGAGTCAGCTGAAGGGGTATAGCTTAGATGCAAGTCTGGTTAGGTTTCTTCAGCAGGTGTACACAGACGATAATGTAGTTATAACGCGTGAAGCAGAAACTATACAACCCGCAGTAATAGAAAGAGGGCTCAGGTAGGGATATCCACTGTCACATCTGCTCTTCATGATATATCTCAGTAAAATGGAAAAGAAATTAGGGCAGAGCAACTTAGGTCTTGATGTTAGTCATATAGAAGAAGAGAAAAATGTAGTACAGGTAATGCCACGACTGATATATGCGGACGACATAGTACTTATGGCAGATAATTAGGATACGTTACAGGAACTAGCTGGAATATGTGGAGAGGAAGGGGACACCTTGTGCATGTGTTTTAGTAGTCACAAGTCTGGAGTAATTCTGTTTAATGACGAAAAGAAGGAACGTTTGAGAATACAAGATATTGTAATAGCTGACCATGTAGGAAAATACAATTATGTGGGAGTCTGGCCCAATAAGAGAAGGAAATATTTAGGGTCTAGAATAACATGGGGAGAATATAATTAGAAAAGGGAAAAGAAATGCATAAATTATGAAGCTCAAGGCACTATAACACTATAATAAATATGAAGTGGACAGAGGCATATGGAAAGGAGTGATGGCACCAGGACTCTTTTTTGGCAATTGGGTGTTGTGCATGAAATCAGAGGTTCAATCATGATCAGAAATTCGACAAAGAAGCGTAGGAAGATTGGCACTAGGAGCACACGGAAATACACTAAATGAAGAAGTACAGGAAGACATGGGCTGGTCGTCGTTTGAGAGCAGAAACAATTAGTATGTTGAAATTTGAACAAAGGTTGACCAAAATGGATGATGCGCAGCGGGCACGGTAGGTATTAAGGTATTTATACATGAAACGTTTAAACACAAAATGGACAAGCCGAACTCGAAAGCTTATGTTGAAATACCTACACACTAGGAAAGGGGCTGAGCAGACTACTTCAGTGGAAATTGGAGTGAAAGAGGCCAAAAGAAAAATTTGGAAGGTAAGAATGCAAGAAAGTCAGCTCTAACAATGTACAGGACACAAAAACAGGACATAAGAAAGGAAAATGTGTTTGACAATTCACTAGGAAGTACTTTACTGTTTGTGGAGAGAAGGGGAGTTATGAGGACGAGGACGTAAGGGCTAAATTTCAGGAGACAGACACACTATGTGCCGCCTGCCATAATGAGAGTGAGACAGTAGAGCACTTGGTTTTGATGTGAACGGGGCTTCGCCCTGCCCTCTCTGGAGAGGTAACAGATTTGGCCGGGGCCCTGGGTTTCGTGGACGACGACTGAAGGTCGGAAGAGAAAAGGACTACAGTCACGAAGAGGCGATTAGAATATTATTGGAAATTATCTAGGAAAAATATAATGATGCGCAACTAACTAGCACAGCTAGGGACAGGCGAGACAGAGGAAAATTGGGACTCTCTCCCGCGTGGCTCCGGCCCAAGGTCTCAACCCTGTCCCCCAGTGGGTCCTGTGCTGGGGTAACGCCGACAAGGTTTGACGAGAGGAAAATTGGCGACTCCCTCGCTGGGCGGAAGAGGCGGGGAGTGATCTTTTTTATTTTTTTTATTTTTGCCTGATCCCCTAAAGGTCATCCTGGTGATATCTCACACTCCCTGGTGATAGGGGGAGCAAAAAAATGAAAGCCGTTTACAATTCCCTGTAACGCCGGTTAGAGCGCAGCTTTTGAGGAGGAGGATGGAAGCGTACTGAGGGACAGGTGACTCCTTGAGGTCACGTGACCTCAGAGGGGGGGGGGGTCGTGTGACGTCAGGGGGTCATGTGACCTCGGGGGTCGCGTGACCTCGGGGGGGGTCGCGTGGCCTCGGGGGGTCGCGTGGCCTCAGGGGGGTCGCGTGGCCTCAGGGGGTCACGTGACCTGGGGGTATCACGTGACCTCGGGGGAGGGGGCACGTGACCTTGGGTGGTCACGTGACCTCGCGGTTATGCCGACGCCGCTGAAGCCGGAAACGGGCCCCTAAAAGCTGCGCTCTAAAAATGGCTTGGAAAAGCGGGAGGAATCATATGTTTGTTTCTTTAGACTTTGAATAGGTGGCGCAAGCTACCGCTCATTACAAAGGGTATAACCATTAACGTTAAACATCCATCTATCCAGGTAGAAGTACTGCTTCTTAAAAGTGGGTGACGGACAAACTGGAGTGCGGGTTTCGGCCTTATGGTGACAATGTTTAATGGGGCATGATTGGATGATGGTAGCTTCGGTCAGTCCCATTCTGTCTACGCCGGGCGTGTCCGTATGTCCCCTTTTTTAGCCGCGGTGACGTGACGATATTGTGTGACCGGCGGGATTCTGGTGTGATTCGAGGCAACGTTAGTGAAGCAAGCTCAGTTTCGCAGCTCCCCATTCTCGCCTGGGGAGGCGAGTGGCCCAGGTGGCGGTCACGAGAACTAGCGGCGCTGCAGTCGGAACTTACTTCCCTGTCTCGCGCGTCGTCTACGACCACAGCGTTGAGAGCTTGGTGCATTTCTTTTCTTGTTCCTTTTCTTTTCAATTTCTTTTTCTTCCTTGATTTTTTTTTTTACTTCTATGTGCATAAGAAAAAAAAATGATGAAGATGAAGTGTAATGCACCACAGAGTTGAGAGTCAGCGCAGTGTGAGAGTTCTTTCTTTGAGAGTTTGAAATTTATTTTTGTGTGCGTCTGTTTCCTAGCGCTGTGAAGTGTTAGTATGAATCAACAACTCGCCCAAGCTCAAGTATTGCTATTTAAACTTGGCGGGCTAGACAATCCGGAAGTGAACGCCACTGAGCCCACGTCGCAGGCGGAGCTGGGAAACTGAGCTTGCTCCAGTAACGTTGATTGGAGGTGGCTGTCAGTATCGGTGAAAATGAGGTCCAACAGCCCTGTCATTGGCCGGGAGATTTATGGCTGCGCAGCAGCAGCCTTTTTCATGCTATAGAAAGAGGAAGACGAAGGCCCATTGACGGTGGACACTCCGGCAGATGTTCAAAAGCCTTCATTCCGGGTCTTCGAGGGGGTAGCTGTCGAGCGATGGTGTTGCGGACCGTTCCTGGAAGTGTACCGTGGTTGGAGCTCGCCCTCGCCGGGGTTATGAACGTAGCAAGCTGTAGGTAGAAACAGATGCTGGGCGCCAGCGTCTTATTTTTTTCTCTTCTTTTTGTTCCCAGCTTGTCCAGATGGCAGTTTTGGAAAGAACTGTCTGGACACCTGTTCGTGTCAGCGTAACAGCACTTGTGAGAGCACAAACGGCACGTGTCACTGCCCTCCTGGAAGGACGGGGAAGCACTGCGAAAAAGGTGTGCAGTCGTATGGTCCATACTCTGTGTCATACTTCCAGTCTGCTGAACATCAGGTTTAGTATTTACCACATGCTCGGCGTCCAGCGCGAGGTTGCTGCCTTTGATGACAAACCCCCCCCCCCCCCCCCCCCCCCCCCCCATAGCATGCGCAGTCGAAGCCCCGCGGAAGGCAACGAGCCCGCTCAAAAGGCGGAGCTTCTATTCAATTCTCATCCTGTCACTCGCTACACTGCACTATTTGAAAGCTGCGAGCGCCAGCGCGTGCCTCGATCTTGCGATTCATTTACACGCGCACTTGTGAAAAATTGATTGAAGTGATTTTAGTACTAATGAGACATTATATGTGATGAAGCCAAGCACTTATGCCAGCAGGTTTGACAACGGTATTTCATGAGTCACGGGACCAGCCTAATGGCCAATTTTACGAACCGCCCTTTCATTTCGAAAGCCGTGGTTTGTGCACCAGATATTTGTAGCCACGCTGGGGTGCCTTTCCATCCATTAGAAAGTTTTAGAATAGGAGGTCCCAACGTCTTGGATTCCCCGAGCAGCTTAAAACACTTCATCTCCTCTCTAGCGCGATGTTGTGTGCTACGCAACGGAGAATGAGGGCGCACGGTCACGAGCAGAGCGTTTGGACACTGTATTCCCGAGTGCCGTTGAACGAGCAACCAGCCGCACAGGCTGGACACTAGGGACGTTTAGCAAACCGTTACCGCGTTCAGCGTACCGCACTACTGGGGCCCTTTGAAGCATGCTTGTATGCGCGCGCCCGGAGTGATACCGTGACTGCGGGGCGCGCGGTTAAAAGCATGATTCAAAGGCTCCAGAAATGCGGTACGTGGAACATGATAACTGTTCGCTAAAAGTACCTAGATTTAGCATAGCGTAGCCGTATGGAGCCGCATTGCCATCGTGAGCTCGCGCTGTGACTTCCAAGCATGCTCTTCAGCACACAACAGGAGACATACTTTTGCCAGGGTAGGACATGGCAGACGACGCCTGTTCGCGAACACCAGACCCTGACCCGACTGTTCTTTCTGCTCAAGGTGGAAAATAAGAAAGGAATATGATTGAAATCATGATCTAAGGGGGTACTCTTGCGATTTTTTTAGCGACCCCAACAAACTATATTTTCGGAATCACCGGCCTTTACCCTTTCCGGTATGTTATTTAGTATTGCGAAATTCCGAATAGTACTTGCGAACTCGGCAAATGAAAATGATGCAAAAACCAACGTTCAAATATAGCCGCACGTTTCCGTGCCATGACGTCAGCGGCAGGCAACCTTGCCATTCGAGCAAATAGTCTAAAGATTAGACTATGCCAAGCATTTGTTCCGGGCTAATGGGCGGGTACTGAATCGAGCTTCTAAAGCATTAATCTGACACCATGAAACTGCTTGGAATCCGCTGGGAACAAATTCTACAGTCCAAAGAGTGAACCGCTGCCTTCCGGTGGCGTCACTTTTTCATTGCTTCCAGTAGAGGCTTTCAGTTTGAAAAAACTCGATGAGGACAAAAATTGTAAATTTAATAACTTACCGTAAAAACATAGTTTTACCTAATACTTGGGATACTAATTCAGCAACGTTTGATGGCGTGTTTAGCACATTTTCAGGCAAATTGGGGACCATGAAGAAATCGGCGGGGTACCCCTTTAAATCACACCAGTTTTACTATGATAATATTGTCAGGAATGACGAGGTGGCGAAACAAAGAATCACTGAGGAAACTGAAACGTTTAATGGGGCGAACTTGTGCCCAAAACAAAAAGGAAACAGAAGGGAACAATAAAGCATCGCGGGCGTCGAAGTCGGCGTTATAGCAGGATCGAACGCTGGGGCGAGACTGACTGCAGATCGCCAAGCGGAGCCTATTATGTACACCCGTTGGCTTCTGGAACAATCGACCCAGAAGGTTCGGCGACTAGAACATTCATACCTCGAACAAGCAACCGAGTTCTAGAATTCACCACAACATTAAATCACCAGAATAAATAAATAAAAGACACGTAACTCCCGGGAATCGAGCCCTGGCTCTTCGCGTGGAAGGCAGGCACGATAACCGTTAGGCCACGGCCGCGCTGCCTATGTGGCCAGTTGCGTGCGCGGCATTACTCCCCCCCCCCCCCCTTTAAAAAGTGCATCGCCCCGATGCAACACAAAACAAAACAAATGAAGTAAAAATAACGGCAAACTAAGGAGTGATTTGGAACGCACAAGGTCCACAGTTATATCAAGCGTAGTACGGCTTCAGGCGCACGACTTGGACGACTTCAGATCGTGGCGGGCGGCGTGATGGTGTTGTTGTTCCGTCGGGCATCACCTCGTAGTTCAGCTCCCCAAGGCGACGAAGTACCTTGTATGGTCCAAAGTACCGTTTCAGCAGTTTCTCACTGAAGCCGCGGCGACGGATGGGCGTCCACATCCACACCCTGTCCCCAGGCTGGAGGTGGATGTCCCTGAGACAAAGGTTGTAGCGGCCCTCGTCGAAGCGTTGTTGGTCTTGAATCACGAATCGGGCGAGCTGGCGGACTTCTTTGGCGCGTTGTGCAACCACCTTGGCGTCGTCGCTCTCGCTGCCCAGCTGTTGATGGGTCGACGGCTCCAGACGCGGCTTCCTGTGCTACCTGGACGACTTGCAGTAACTCAGCCTAGCCAGAAGGCCTTCAGAGCCCGGGATGCGAGGGACAAAGCACGCCAGGCTCGTGATTTCCGTCGCCAGCACAACGCCCATTCTTTGAGCCCTCTGACGCCAGGCTATGCACTCTGGGTGACCGATACCAACCGCCGAGCCCAAGCTCTTAGCCGGGCCCAGCGGCCACGTTCGTACATCGCCGAGACTCAAAGCGGTACGCTCCAGCGGAACCGCAGACGCTTGGTGCCATTCTATTCGTCTGCGACCTCGAGAGAGCAAGACTCCCCACCTGCTTCGGAACAGTAGCCTGGCCTCCGACCCCAGTAGAGCCGGCAGGGCGTCGACCAGCGGGGCAATCTCCTCGACCCCGACCTGAAGCAGCCTTATCAGCGGAGTCGTCAACTGCGGGGCACTGATCGCAAGGAGGAGTCAGAAAGAGACGTTGTGGCCGCGTGTTCAAGCCGCCAGGACGGCTCAATTTGTGAACCTGTTGTTTTTGGTCTAGTAACTCTTTTGGGAGGCGAGATGTAGGGGTCAACAACCAGGTGTTACTGAGTTTAGCTTCTGATTCCCGAGATGGCACTAGCTGTGCGTCGCCTGTGTATAAAAGGGAAGGTTCTTGAATGAAGTTTGGTAAAGGTGACATATTGAGCTTCCGGCTCAGCAACACTTCCTTTGATTTCCTTGCTCTCAAGACTCTGACTGACTGAAGTTTGGTTAGGGCAGGATGTGGCCGAGTGGGCTAACGCGTCTCAGCTCGGAGCGTGGAGCGAAAGCTTGCGCTGGGAACCTCCTGGGTTCCCCACCGCCCCCGCCCGTTTCGATCTGGATGAGTTTCATACCGGCACGCGTTCGTCTAATTGCGTGATGCACGTTAAAACCCCCAGGTTAGCGGTTGTACTACACTGGCTAAATTTCTCATCGACAGCTAAGAGACCGATTATTCGTTGAGGGTAATCGTCTGTATAAGCATGCAGAGCAAGCCAATTTTTTTTATAAAGTTTGGTTGGTTTTGTAACAGTCACCGGCGCCGTCGCCTATCTATCGCCCGATACCGTCCCGCCCACGCGGTGCCGAACACTTCCGACAGGCGTAATGAGGTGTCCTCCAGCGGTTCGAATCTGCGGCCCCTCCCACGGCGTCGTCACTTTTCGAAGGCGGCGAGAGAGTCTCCCACTCAAGACTGAGTAGTCTGCTCCGGTGTCCACGAGTTCCGATGCGTCGTGGCCGTCGATAATAACTTTTAGGTTGTTGGACACCGATGAAGGAGCGTCGGGAGAACGGGAGCGCTCCGTCGTTCATGGAGGCTCTTTATTTCGGTCGTTTTCGGCAACGCCACTTCCAAGCGTTGGCGCACTTAGTTTTCCCGACAAATTTGGGGGGACAGGCTGTACCGGAGAGAGCGGCGGAAAGGCGAAAGCGCACGTCGAGGCGAAGGCTAACAGGGATCTCGGGGTGGAATCGGCACCAGGGACAGGGGGTCGTCGGAGGTACTCCTCGATGTCCTTTGGTCGCCCCCAAGGCGGGGTCGCTCGGCGCAAAGTTTCGCAGGCCCATTTGTCGGTACGGGCACCTCCGGTAGACGTGATCGGCCTCGCCGGAGTGATAATATAGCGGTCGTCGATCGGATATGTGCCACACATCCGTCTTCCTTGGCGCCGGTTGTTCAGTGGGGACGAGCTGGGGTTGCCCTTCCCGATGTCGGAAAGTCTGTGGCTCTGGTAGGTCACATCGAGGTGGCGTCGAATACTGCCGGGCAGCTGGTGCCGGTCTCCCAGCTACCGCGGCGTAGGTCAGAGAGGGCTCTTCGGGTGCTGCTACGCTGGCAGGAGCCTCAGGTTGGAATGCCCACTGAACTTTCTTGCGGACAACTTCGGCTATTGACATCGAAGTAGGCTGGTGGTTAGCAGGCAGGAGCTTCTTGATTTCCTCCCGAACGACGTCCCGGATGATCTCGCTTTTGTCCGGGGTATTGATGCTGTACGGCGAGAGGGCAGCGAAGCCGGGAAGTCTCTGGTTGTGGGAGGCGCGTGCTTGAGGGGCACGTTCGATGTTTGTTGCATTTGTGATGAAGCCTTGGACGGTGGTGGGCGGGTTCTGCACAAGCCCTCCATAGATAGTTTCTTTCACTCCCCACAACAGGACCCGCAGCTTTTTCTTTTCGGGAGCGTTTGGGTCGGCGCGGTGCATGAGGTGGAGAACGTCTTCGACGAAACTTGTGACGCTCTCGTTTGGCCCTTGACTTCTCGCTTGAAGAAGTTCTTCGGCCCGCTGACGTCGCTGCTGGCCGGCAAAGGTGCGTTGAAGCTCGGCCTGGAAGTCTTCCTACGACGGAATCGACGCTTCGCGGTTCTCGAACCAGGAGCGTGCCGTGCCTTTCAGTGCGAAGTAGACGTTCCGTAGGCTCTGCTCAGGGTCCCATCCGTTTCACCGTGCGACGCGTTCGTACTGACTCAACCAATCATCCACATTTTCATGAAGATTGCCACTGAAATTCGCCGGCGTCCTTAGTGGGGCCTGGATGTAGACGATGGACGTCGGTGGCGTTCCGCCTTGCTGCGGCGTGGTGTTCATCGTTGACTTCGGTAGCTTCTTTGTCTTGTCCGGCAGTGGTCCCAGTTCCGGGGGTAGGCCTTGGTTGCGGCGACTTGATCGGGTCTCGGCCCTCTCTTCGTTGGGTCTTCGAACGCTTGGGGTCGGACTTGCATTGTGGGCCCTCATAGGTGTGCGCTGCACGGACATGCGTCTACCCTGCACCTCCAACAACATGTTACGAATGACAAGGTGGCGAAACAAAGAATAACTGATGAAACTCGAACGTTCAATGGGACGAACTTGCGCCCAACACAAAAAAGAAACAAAAGAAAACAATAGAGCGTCGCGGGCGTCGTAGTCGTCGTAGCAGCAGGATCAAAAGCTGGGGCGAGACAGACTGTAGATGGCCACGCGAAGCCGCTTATGGCTTACGTGTTGGCTTCTGGAACAATCGACCTGGAAGGTTCGGCGACTAGAAAATTCGGACCTCGAACAAGCAACAAAGTTCTCGAATTTTCCAGAACATTAAATTACCAGAATCAATAAAAAAAAATTACTAGAAGAAATAAAAGAGGCGTAACTCCCGGTGATAAAGGAACATCACCAGAAGCAATAAAAGACGCGTAACTCGCGTGGGAGGCAAGCACAATAACCGTTAGGCCATGGCCGGGCTGCCTACATTGCCAGCTGCGCGCGGCAATATAAATAAAAGCTTTCCCGCAAAAATAAAGCTCAAAATATATATTTTTTTTTAATTTTTCTTTTGTTTCTCATTTAATAGACAAACGGTAGACAGTAGACATATCAATTGATAGACAAACGGTATACGGATTTGTTTTGTATTTATATCGAATAATAAACGAGCAAAAAAGGTTTATGTAAAACTGAATACGAGCAAAAAGAAGTGCTTTTCTGAAAAAAAAACTGGAGCTTTGAGCTTCATTTCTACCTTAAATTTCGTTCGTCAGCTCCTATCGCAAAAAAAAAAAAAAAAAAAAAAAAAAAAATATATATATATATATATATATATATATATATATATATATCAAAACGCAAAAGTAAGAAACGGAAATTAGAAAAGTAATATCCATCGCAATCGAGTCAGAACTCCAGAAAAAATAAAAACAGCGTTTTAACTAACTAAAAAGATCACGCTTTTTGTTGTAGTGTGTCGGGGATTACAGCAATATAACCTTGTTACGTAAACTGTATTTCACATTCACGGTAGTCATTTTGTGACTCATTATTCTCGGACATCGATCGAATTGATCGGTCACTGCCTGCCATGTTGAAAAATACACCTAGTGGTAAAGAATCACTAAATTTAGCTACAGTGATCTAAATCAAATTAATTTGATTTAAATAAATACATCTGATTTAAATTAAATAAACCTAACTTACCCGACATAAAAATTGGTGATTTTTTTTTTCACTTTGTTTTTTGCTCAAGGGGAAGCAGACGACGGTCAATGTTGCTGTGATTATAGTGACACAGTGGTTAGAAACAAAGTAACTAGAGACAAAGGCAGCGAGCCTTTGCGCCTTCCACCAATCCTTCCACCTCCAATGAGAGCGAGCAAGACTGTCACCTGCTCCTCGCGCAGAGTAAGCAGCTGAAAAGGTCTGGGGTTCGAATCCACCGGTCTCTTACGGACAAGGACTTGACCTTCGAGAAAGAGGAGAGGAATTACCTCGAAGGAGTACGTCGATTCTTCCAACAAGTACCAAAGCACCCCAAGGAACGAGCAAATCAAGGCCGAAATGTCGCGCCTCACCTTCTCCGCAACGGACGCACGTGAAATCTAAGCTTCCGTAGGAATGCAGTTGTACCTTAGTAGTGAAGTGGCCATTGTTGACCGTCTCGTTTACCCGACGGCTTTCCATTTCAGACTGCCCTGTAGGCTACTTCGGGAAGGGGTGCATCCACAAGTGTTCCTGCGTGCACGGCGCTTGTGCCGCCAGGGACGGTTCTTGCAGCTGCAATCCTGGATTCGTTGGCGACAAATGTCAACACGGTACGTATTATCTGCCTTTAGATCAGTTCTTCTCGGCGTTTTTTTGCATGCCTCAGGATTTCAAATTTTAACTATAAAACGGAAATAAACTTCCACCAAAACCTGAGAAAAATAGCGATAAAGACTGCAGGTTACTACGAACTTACTTGGCAACGGGGAACAGGCCTCTTGCCCGAGTCTTTATGGGTCTCCTTGTGCCTTATGGACCCTATTCAATCTAGTAAATGGAAATTTAGTGTACTACGTTGTGTTCTGGCACAATAGCACGATAATAATAATAATAATGATGATTATTATTATTATTATTATTATTATTATTGTTGATGCTGTTCTTTGTATGTGTTGTTGCTCATAACTGGATACAGTTTTCACATACAATCAATCTGCACTTTTTTAGATGCTTTTAATAAAACCTGTGGTGTAAAATACTCATTTAGTGTATCAAGTAGGCTGAAAAATATGACACTCGTGAGTACCTGGATTGAGTAAAAGTTAAAAAGCGCCCATTTTCTTTTGCGCTAAGTGTCTCATGCAGTTTGCGCATTGCAGTAAGGAACAGTGGATCAGAAAATGAAGGCTCAAAAAGTGCGAAGTAGGGACGGTTGGTTTAGATTTCTTTAAAAAAAAAAAAGAAAAACACGATAACAATTCGTCTTTGTATTTTTCTTTCTTTTTTCTTAATATAGGAAGAGTGTGTTCCTCGCCTCAGAAAGTGCCCGCCTTAGAGAGGGGCGTAGCACGAACTTCTATCACAGTTTTAGTAGGGAAATAGACGTCGCACAAGCATATTTTTTTTAAATATCTAGGATGCTTGGAGCCCGTAAGATAAGTTATCACCAAAAAGAGACGATCGCAGAAACGTATTTAGTGCACCTTTAAGAAGCGCGATATTTATATATCCCAAAATCAAATATGGTTTAAAAGTTGAGTCGAGGAAACCTAGCATGTCTTTTGAAAAAAAAAAAAAACTCTTACTGCTAGCAAGAGGCCTATAAATAACAACGATAATAATATGTCCTTCAGGAATAACAAGGAACTCCACGTCAGCTCTAATCGCGGAATAATCATCAACAGCGTACCGTGAAAAGTAATTTTTCATATATAGGGCAACACAATCACCTTTTTTTTTTTATTTTGCCTACCTAGACTAGCACATCTGTAATCGCTAAAGTAATGGGGTTCCGCTCCTTCAGGAACCCAAGTGTCTGAAAAAGTAGGGCGTCAAAACGAGTGCACAATGATTGAGAAAAAAAAATGAAAGACGTTTACGATTCCCTGTAATGCCGAATTAAAGCGCAGCTCTTGAGGAGGAGGAGCGGAGGGTACGGAGAGGAGGGTGTGCCCTTTTTCTCCTTCTCTTCTTCTTATCTCCCTCCCCCTCCTCCCTCTCCCCTCCTCCATCCTCCTCTTCTCATTCTCTCTCCCTTATCCCCCTCTCCCCCTTCTTCTCCCTCCCTTCGATCCTCCCTCTTGAAGTCCCTCATTACCCTAATGACCCCCGTGGAAGCCTCGTGAAGGTCGGGACCTTCACAAGTGAAGGTCCTGACCTTCGTTGTGACCTTCACGACTAGCCTTTGTGAAGTCACTCGTTACTCTAGTGACCCTCGTGACGTCACACGTGACGTCACTTGTGATGTCATTATGGGATACGTCCCATAATGCAACACGCGGTTACGCCGACGGCGATGGCGACGCCGCTCAAGCAACACCTCCTAGAAATCAGGCCGTAGCGCTCCGAGTGGCACGTCACAATGGCGGGGGAAGGAAGGCCATGGCGCAACTACGTGAGAAAATGCCGCTGTCGACGCGTATCGGCGCAGTAATGTTCATGCGCGTTTATCCGACATTAATACACGCTTTAAAAGCGCAGTCTTGTACAATTTATTGTATATATAATATAAACGTAATATACAACGCGTTACTAAGGTTGAAAGTACAAAATTTATATTTATCCCCGTAACCGCGGGACTACGCCCAGTCCCGCAGCTCCCCACACTTTTCGAATGAACAGGCTCCGAATTTCCAATGCGACATCCACTTCCCTCGTACGGGCTCTGATTCTGGTAAATTTACGTTGCGTGTGAGCTGCTGACTGTCTGCAAAGGTACGCTGAGACATTTCAGCAGGATAAGGAACAAAAAAAAAAAAAACAGTCATCGCCGTAAGGAGGGAGCGCACACGAGCAAGAGATGGGTCGACAATGTTAAGCCTCTCGTCCCACACTGCTGGTGCTGCTCTCGCGTGTGTGTGTGTGGTTCTTTTGATCCTCCTACCCTTCGTTTTTTTTGTCGTCACCGCAGTCTCGGGTAGATTTTTTGTGCGTGTGTTCGCTTGATACTACGGTATTTACGTGGATTCGCGAAACAAGTCCTGCTACAGTTTGAGTGACGTGTGTGGCAACTAGTCAACGATGACACTGGCCGATGACCTCTCTCTCGACAGAGAAAGACTTCTAGAAGTTTGTGTTCAAATTTTTTCGTGATGGTTCGTGTGGGACGTATGGATACGATCGACAGGTGAGGAACAACTCATTTACGGGCTTTCTTGGTCATGTAAGACGGAAGTGCTGCAGTCGATTTTTTTTTTTTTAAGTCTCGTGATAGAATGGAATTTTGTTCGTCGTTATACGTTTGCTATTGCGTCGACATTTGTAAATATGCGTGGTAATATTATATTTTGTTCTTACGCAGCTCGAGCCCATAGGGAGAATTAAATTAGTTGACTGTAAATAGTAAGTTTAGTAACCCTGCCACACGAAAAAGTTAATATATTTTGATTAAATAATACGGGATTTAATCAGCTCGCTGTTTTGAGTGATTATATGAGCGTCGCAACCTGATTTGATGGCCCCATCTTTTCATTCGATCGAAATTATATTAATTTCAATTCAGTGAATGCACGCGAAAATATTGCTTACATGATCGTAAGTGACACTTGTCGAGCCGTGTCCACGTTGGCTACGTCTACCTGATTTTTAACTGACCTGTATTGCTGTGTCCAATCACTGCGTGTCTCACCATTTTGTCAAAATATTTTTGTGTAAAATGAGCATTTCCAGAGCAATAATTGCGTGACCCAATATTTTCTACTTAAAACAATCACATTTTTTTTATAGACGTGTTTTACGCAAACCTCGTGCCATTTCGCATCGATTATTTAGCGGTGTAATGTTTTGCCCGTGTAATAAAGTGTTTCTTAGACCCGTTGCAATGTGCAACTTTCATTTTAGCTATAAGACACGTGTATGGCTACGTTTACATGGATGCGACTGCAGCGCATCGGATCCAGTTAACGAATCGAATCGGTCCATGTAAACAGCTCGGATCGGATCAGATCGGATCCGATCCGATCCGCTGGGACGGGGTGGTTTGAGATGGTCAATCCGAATCGAGACTCTCCATGTATACGCTAGCGGATCGGATCGAGTGCTCGAGCGAGGGATTACGGGAGCTTTGCTTTGCCTGCCGCTAGGCAAACCGGACACCTCGGAAACAATCTGAAGGTCGCGAGGTTTGCGTTGTGATCCTTCGACACGAGGTGCCGCTGCTGGTCGATCCGAATTCATGTAAACTTGGTGGTTGAAGTGGATCCGATTCGCTAACTGGATCCGATGCGCTGCTGTCGCATCCATGTAAACGTAGCCAATGAGGCGAAAACCGCGTTACGACGGTCGATCCACGCGCGTTGCCTTCGCTTCGACACGCGCCCCCGATGGCCTTCCTTTGCGACGTCACGAGAAAAGCGTTACGGCCTTATTTCTATGAGGTGTTGGCTCCAGCCGGAAACGGGCGCCTAAGAGCTGCGCTCTAAAACTCCTAGGTCTTCTTTCGTGTTTCCTACGCTCCTGGCGTTGAAATGAACCGCAAAAAATTACCTCGTATACTACGTGTCAGCCATAAGAAACTAAATTCTGCATAAAACATACTCCAGACGAAAGAAACGAAATCAGCTTGTAATTGTTTCCACATCCTCGAGGATCGCGATCCTGATAGCACGTGAAGGTTCATTTTTCCAGGCATACATCCTTCCCCCGATAACCACACCAATATCCATCCCACCTCACGCTTTCGAGCGATCGCTGTCCTCAGATATTGTTCGTTTTGTCCAGTCAGGTGTTCATTTTCATAGACTGTAATTTCCCATCCCGCAACATCAAGATCTGACGTGACCATGCATTTCTCTTTTGCGTTTTTCCATCAGCACGCTTCTTTTGCTGCGTTGTACGGAACGTACAATTGTTTTTGTTTTTTTTTCGCGTGTTTCTGCGTTGGGACCCTATCAGAGATGTGAATGTCCACGTCAAAAATAGGCTCGCCGACGAGCTCGCTAATTTCCTTGACAAAGGCGGTCGGATCACCATCCGGAGGGGCCCCTTTGACTTCATTGTTGTTTGCCCTTGGGCACTGCCCCACTTCCTCGAGCCTGCTAGTTCGTTTCCGGCGCTCAGCTTCTAGGTCATGGTTGCATTTTGTCAGGTACCGTATTTCATTTCGTAGATTCTTTAACGCCACCAGCTACATTTTTGAGGTCATCGCATGTTTTGGTACAAACGTTTACGTTGTCTTTCAGACTTCTTAATTCTGTTCTTATTTCCCGACGCATATCTTCGAGCGCATTGGTGAATACTTTTGTCTCCTTACTCGTTTTTAAAAAAAATGACGTACACAGAAGTCAGTGAAACAAATCAACACACAGATCACAAAACTTGCTGTGTTCGGCAGCGGCACACAAAGATAGAAATAAATATATAAGAGCACTTAATTCCGCCAATTTCTCGCCTGTAAACAGGGGCTGTAGCGATTAGATACGCGGTTTACGTTCACCGCTGCCGAAACGATGGAAATTAGCCGGGCAGTCTGTTCTCCTATCCTGTTGTTGTCGCAGACGGCGCTGTGGTCCACGGTCTTGACGTGGCGATCGAATAAGTAACTTGTCAGCACACGATGAGTCGATTGTTTACAGCGCTGCAAACAGAGGCAGTAGAAATTACATCTGCGCTT